TAACAATGTTCAGCCTAACTTTAAGAGAAATAATTCAGGAAATATTCATCAGCCGCAAAAGCAGCAGAGAATGTTTAATGTTGAGGCCCAAATACGTGAGGATGCAGAGCCGGATGAAATGAATGGTTCTGATGAACAGGAATATGAGGTTTCCTATGACGAAGCGTACGAGGAGGATCTAGACGATCAGTTGGCAATTGTAGATGACGTTAATTTTTTAGACTAGCTTCAACGTTGCCATACCTCCCTTTCAGAATGAAAAATGGCAACGAACTTAAATTTCTTATAGACACCGGTTCGAACAAAAATTATATTAATGGCAAATTTATTAGAAACCCTCTAAAGAACCAGAAACCTTTTCATGTTAAGTCCGTAGGCGGCATAGTTAGTATAGAGACCCATAGTTTTATTGACATTTTTAATTGCGGGATCGGAAAGTTAGAATTTTACATCCTTCCTGGTCTAGAGACCTTTGATGGGATAATAGGGAATGATACCCTGAAATCTTTGAATGCAGTGATTTACACTTGGAGATCCTATCTCACAATTCTGGATGGAAAGAAATTTCCTTTGAAAGAGCTGCAAATTGATGAGATTAATAACATGAATCTACGTTTAAATCATCTAAATCCCGAAGATGAAAAAGAAGTCAGGAATATTTTGGATGACCATCCAAACCTTTTTGCAGATCCCAATAAAAAACTCACTTATTCAACAATCGTACAAGCTGAAATTAATACGAGTAGTGATAGTCCAGTTTATTCAAAATCCTATCCGTATCCAATGGCACTGAAATCCGAAATTGACAAACAGATAGAAGAACTATTAAGGGACGGGATAATTCGCCCTTCCAGGTCCGCATATAATGCTCCAGTTTGGATAGTACCAAAAAAACCAGATGCTTCAGGTGTGAAAAAATACCGCATGGTTATTGACTATAGGAAACTTAATGAGATAACTAGACCTGACAGATACCCCATACCTGAAATTACAGAAATCTTGGCTAACTTAGGCGAACAGAAATACTTTTCCACCATAGATTTAAAGAGCGGATTCCATCAGATTCCACTTAGGGAATCCGATATTGAGAAAACAGCTTTTTCCGTCAAGAATGGAAAGTTCGAGTTCACAAGACTACCATTTGGACTACGTAACGCGTCTGCAATATTCCAAAGAGCTCTAGATGATATTCTTAGAGAGCATATAGGGAAACGGTGCTACGTCTACATTGATGACATTTTGATATTTGATAGGACTAAAAAGGAACACATTGAAAATTTGAGGATAATATTCCGCACTTTGGAAGACTCTAATCTGAAAGTTCATTTGGACAAGAGTGAATTCTTAAAGGAAGAAATTGACTTCTTAGGGTTCAATGTAAAGGAAGGAGGTTTTTCTGCAAACCCAGACAGACTTAAGGCCATAGTTAATTTCCCTCAACCTAGAACAGTTCATGACTTGCGATCGTTCCTGGGTTTGACCGGACATTATCGGAGATTCATAAGGGGCTATGCTCAAATAGCCAAACCATTAACTTCCATGATGAGAGGCGATATAGGGAAAACCCCGAGAAACCAGTCAAAAAAAATCAGTGTCAATTTGAATTCCGAACAGATTGAAAGTTTCAAACAGCTCAAGAACTGTTTGGTATCGGAGGAAGTCGTTTTGAACTATCCCGACTTTGATAAGCCCTTTGAACTCACTACTGACGCCTCGAAATACGCTTTAGGAGCAGTTTTATCTCAAGGCAATAGACCTATCACATACCTTTCTAGAACTCTCAGTAGGGCAGAAGAGGAATATGCGACAAATGAGAAAGAAATGCTGGCGATAATTTGGGCTTTAAAGGAATTGAATTGTTACTTGTATGGAGCAAGAAGCATAAAGATATTTACCGACCATCAACCTTTGACATTTGCGCTAAGCAACAAGAACACAAATGTGAAGATGAAGAAGTGGAAGGCACAGTTAGAAGAATATAATTACGAGTTAATTTATAAACCAGGTAGCACGAATGTAGTCGCGGACACGCTATCGAGACCACCGGTGACAGATGTTAACTCCCTAATGCCCACGGTTCACAGTGCCGAGGACTCATCGGAAGACCTAATTCCTTCCGCTGAGGTGCCAATAAATACCTTCAAAAATCAGATCATTATTGAGGAATCATCAGCTTCCTCATATGAATTTAACATTGTATTTCCCTCCTACCATAGACATATCATTAAAGAAACCAGTCTAGCGGAATCAGATCTGAAAGTCATATTAAAGAGATACTTAAATCCTACAGTAGTCAACGGCATCAAGACCTCAGAGCCAGTTATGCTTATGATTCAAGCACTGTACCCTCATCACTTCAGAAACATTAAAGTACGATTCGCTCGAACAATGGTTGAAGATGTTACTGATGAGGAGAGACAAAAACAAATCATTATTGAGACTCACAACAGAGCACATAGGAATAATGCCGAGAATAGGAGACAAATTTTAGAGAGCTATTACTTCCCTTCCATGACTAGGAAAATAAAGAATGTGATCAATATCTGTAAAGTATGTAAAGAAAATAAGTATGAGCGACATCCGAACGCTCCCAAACTTAATAAGACACCTATGCCAACTTATCCTGGGCATACAATCCACATAGATATCTTCTCTACAGACAAGTTTCGAGTTTTAACCGCAATAGACAAATTTACAAAATTCGCAGTAACCAGAATGATAAATGGCAAAGGCATTGAAGACATTAGGAAACCATTGAGAGAAATAATTTTCTACTTTGGGGTCCCGAAGTCAATTGTATTTGATAACGAGCGATCTTTCAATTCTCAGACCATTCGGTTTATGTTGGAAGACGAACTTGGCATGGAAATTTTTACGGCACCGCCTTATAAGAGCGAGGTTAATGGGCAAATAGAGAGATTCCATTCGACCTTATCGGAAATTATGCGTTGCAGTAAGTGTGAGCGACCCGATTACTCTTTTGAGGAGCTATTGCAAGATAGCGTTAACAAGTACAATCACACAATACATTCGTCAATTGGAAAGAAACCCGTAGATCTATTTTTTGGACGACCGACGACCTTTGGACCAGAGGACTACGAAAGGACTCGCCTTAACAACTACGAAAGACTCTTGAGGAAACAGGAAAATGATTTGGCAAATCATAATCGTGTTAGGGAAGAACCAAAAGAATATCAAGAAGGTCAGAAAATATTTGTCAAACAGAACAAGAGATTAGGAACCAAATTATCTAAACGTTTCAAAGAAGAAGTTGTAAAGGAGAATAGGCACTCAACTGTCCTGACTCAATCAGGGAGAATAGTCCATAAGAGTCATATCAGAAACTGACTTACTTATTTACCGGGTTTCCAGTTCTTAATTACAGGTTGCCTAGGGGTCACAGAAATATTGGACTACTCTCAATCAGAAGTGGTTCTTATAGAGAGTGGAATAGGAAAAATACAAACAGGGACATTCAAAATTTTGCATGTTATTAACATCAAGGAATATCATGACACTCTAGAGAGGATCAAGGACGACTTGGCCAAAGGAATTCCAGACAACCACCCACTACTCCCCTTCCTACATAATGACATCACTACCCTATCTCACCTTATAAATCGGCTAATGCCTGAAGAGAGATCTAAAAGATCTCTTGATGAGATTGGAACGGCGTGGAAATGGCTGGCAGGTAGTCCAGACCATGATGACCTTATGCTTTTGAAAAACAAAATCAATGAGTTAACAGACAACAGCAATAACCAGTTAATAATCAACAGAGATCTAATAGAAAGAATGCAGGAGATAACGAATGCGACAAATAGTATTTCAAAAATTTTAAAGACTAGTGAGGACTTCCGTAATACCCTCATATTGCAGGCAAAGTACAAAGTTGAAATTTTAAAGGAGGAAATAACGAATATTAATTCGGCCATTCATTTAACAAAATCCAACATTGTAAACACATTTATTTTATCGGAAATAGAAATTAGAAAAATAGAAGAAATATTTAATCAAGATGAAATCCCGTTTCAAAACATTGAACAAGCTTTAAATTTCGCACGAATAAAAATTGTAAACAATAGTACTAATATAATTTACATTATAAGCATTCCCAAAACTGTAAAAGAAATTTGTAATGTCATAACCATAAGACCTGTAAAAAATCAAAATACTGTTTTAAATCTTGATTATAAGAAAATTGTAAAATGTGAAAGAGCAACATTTGGAATTAAAAGTCCTTGTCAAAAAATAAATGGTATTGAATTATGTCTAGAATCTAATGTAGCCAATATAACAAACAATACATGTATTCCTAAATTAGTAACTAATAGCCCACATAATTGTTCAATAGTAAATGCAGATCACATTAATAATTTAGAGGAAATAGAACCTGGATTAATTTTGATAAATAACATAAAAGAAAATATTGTCATAAATGGAAACGAAAAAAATGTAACAGGAACTTATTTAATAAGATTTAGTAATTCTACAATTAGGATAGGCAACAAAAATTTCACCGTCGAAGAAGCTGCTTACTCCAAACCGTTGCCTGCGCTACTAAAACACTCAGCTAGAAACAACTACACCGAAGAAATACTATCTCTACAACTACTAAAAACGTTGCACGTGAAAAGTAATAAAAGAATCGAGCGTCTAAATACTGAATTCAAGACCAGTTTATGTTTTAACATCAGTCTCATATTAGCATTGGTCATCCTCCTGATGGCAGTAAAAATGAGGCAAAGGCGCAAAACTAGTATGAAAATTATAAAAATGACCCCACATGAAGGAATGTCTAGACCTCAAATAGAAATGACTGTGTCAGAAAGCCAATTGGCAGCCGGCACAACAGAATCTGTTATCAAAACAAAACAACTAGCAAACCACAATATTAACTTGAATCAACGCGGCAGTCTTTATAATCTGCCATATTTCTAAACACATCAATCGAGACGCTTGATAATTCGAGAGGGAGGAGTTAACGGCTCACCCTAATAAACATCAAACTAAATATGCAAACCAACTAGTAAACATTCCCATCATTATGCTGCGCAAGCAGTCCGACAAATCAACAGGAATATGACACCAGGGCAGTCATCCGCCACAAACACGCGCACTAATACCAGCGCACCGCAAGTGATGACTCAGCGTAATAACGAGCACGACCAGGCTGCAGTATAATATTAGTTTTAAGTTGAAGCAATTCATAATTGTAAATCCAACAAGAGAGGTGCATAGCACCGCAACATAAATGTTAGTAACAAAATAAAGAAACACCATAGCAGTGTGAAATAAACTTTAACTTCTAACATTAACTTATATATAACTTATATTAAATAAATTAAATAATTCTAGGAATACTTTTTTATGGCAAGCGTTTAGTAGTAAGAAAACAACGTCAGCAGTCTTAAGAGATTCTTGGAATGTCTATCCAAACCAAATGTCGTGTTTGTTTTGTTCAGAAATAACTGCAGTTAACATGGTTCGCCTAAAAATAGAAAAATGAAGAAAGTATAATTTTAAAAATTATATTGCAACAATAAAGTAAATAATTATTACAATCTGTCTTAGACAAAATAAACAATAAATAGGTCTGAATGAAATGATAATGACAAAGTATAGTAAAGTGAAGGCAGGCAGGCATTTGACGAATTCAATCGTTATTTTCAACGCAACATACGTGGTGAGTTAAATGACTTAAGAGAAAGCTTAAATATTGGCACGAGGGCTAAACACAAAATAATAACAACAATTTATAAATTATTGTTATTGTTGATAATAGAACACAACCCACTACGCCTCATTGACAGCACGTATCGAAGTACAGGTGTATGTATGTAGGTAGGTAGATAACAATTTATAAGCATTGACAGCCAAGACTGTTAACCTTAGAGATACTGCGGTTTATCTTTAAGTTGACGTTTTTAATTTTCTATAAAAAAAGTGTATATTATTATTATTTTTATTGTTATGTTGAAAAGCTGTTAAAATGGAGAATTTGTAATGTATTTTTCCTTGATGGAGTAAACAATTCAGAAAGTTGGAAATGTATTATAGAGAACAAAGTTTCATAACACTTTCCGTGTTTTGTCTCCAGAGGTTTGGGAGGACCATATGAGAATCAAATAATTCAATGTTCGCAGTTTGAGAATAGTAAAGTGTCCAGAAATATGGGGATCACATCATTGAAAGAAATAATACAATATTCCTTATTTGAAAACCGTTATGCGGAATTAATTTTAACAGAAACAATTCGGGTGAATAATGTCGCTAAAAACATCCAAATACCGAATATCGGAAGGTATCGTTATATGGGGGCTATAACAAAACGTGGACCTACATGGCCCATTTTCAATACCAAAAGAACTGCGGACATCGCTAAATCGAAATGGAATTTTATGCTGATGAAGAATATATATACTTTGTGGGGTCTAAAATGTATATTTCGAGGTGTTACAAACGGAATTACAAACTTAATATACCCTCCATACTATGGTGGAGGGCATAATAATGAACTACATTGTCGGTGTAAATGTTAAACTTGAAACAATCCATTGTGCCCGCAAAAGAGGCGAATTAATTAATGAGTAGGTAGGTAAATTTGTAAGTAGCTACGACATCCAAAAATGGGTTAAGAAACGCATTATTTGGCAATGGAAATTTTTGCTAAGTCATACTGTCAAAATCCGGGTGGATACAGTCGGAATGTGCCTCAACGAGATAAAGGTTTTAAACTCCATCTCTTTGAACGAAAATCGTTTCAGGACATTTGTAGTCGAACAAGGTATGTCCGCCTGTTCGTCTTTCTATCGGGCTGGTGTGCGCGAAAAATAATGAAGAAGGTATCAGAATTGCTCCGAACTTCGCACATCGTAAAACTAAAGGTTATTTGTATATTAAGTTCGTCATTCCGTTTGTAACTCATCGAAATAATAATTTTAGACTTAACAGAGTATACATATTCTTGATAAGCGTAATATTCTTAAAAGAATTAGCCCTGTCCTCCAGTTCGTCTGTTGTAATCACTCTAAATTCAAAACGAATTAAGATGGGAAGCTAAAATTTTACACAGATCAGTCTTTTGTCTGTAGGCAGGTGAAGTTCGAAGATTGGCTATATCGGTACCCCCGATTTTCTGTATTTTGATGATTTTATCCACATTTTTTAATGGAATTATGGGAAATTCTACACAAGGAGTACTTTGAGAGTACCTTACCCTACTGGAAGAGTTTTGTCTATATTGGTCCACGATATCGTATATCCCCCCTTCAACGGTATCTCCCTATATTCGGTATTTTGATTATTTTAAACACATTTTTCAATGGAATTGTCTGAAAATCCCTACAAGGAGTTCCTTCCGAGTACTTTACTCCCTAGAAGAGAATTGTCTATATAGGCCTACGATATCGAATAGCCCCCATACAACGGTACCCCCCGATATTCGGTATTTTAATGATTTTAACGACATTATTCACCGGAAACATTTCTAGTATGATCATATTAGCGGCACTTTTACCAGAATTGTTTCAAATGTCGGTTACTACAGTCTATGATAAAAATACTTATGAAGGACCACTTCTTCTTATAGCCTCTATATTATGGGTTTATTTTGAGCTGCCGAAAATAGTTGTTTTTTTACACACCAACGTGGACACTTTTGTGGTAGGATTTAGGTATGAAGCCTTTCAAAATATAGCTGGTGCAACAATTGACGCCGAACAACCTACCGCAACACAGAATTTTTGGCGAAAAGGATTTTGGAAAGTTGGTCGAAGATTTACTTTTTTTAATCGAAAAATTGTGTTCTGCGACGAAGCTCATTTTTAACTCAATGGGTACGTAAATAAGTTGAATTGTCATTTTTGGAGTGAAGGTGAGCCAAATCATGGCAAAAGTTACCAATGCATCCAGAAAAGTCACAGTTGGCCGCTTAGATCATGCGATTTAACGCCATTATTCCATTTTTGTGGAGCTATGTTAAGGCTCATGCCAATGCAGACGATCCTGCTTCAATTGTCATATTACAACAAATGTTTCTTATAGATTTTAGAAAATCCAATTCGAGAATGTGTCATATTGGATAAGCTATACAAGCTATTTTCGTAGAAAAAGTGTGGTTTATCCGATTGGTTAAACTGTGGATAATGTAGCGTATTTGTCAGACTTTAGATAGGTGTGAAAATCAACGAAATCAGTCCACTCCCGCTGGTAATTCCACCAACGAGGGTCAACATTTTGAATAATTCATAATCATAATTTTATCAAATAAAGAGGCAGTTTAGTTATTTAAGGCCGAACTTTCAATACCCTCCACAATTGGGAAGAAACTTGTAATATTCCGAAAATTTCGTTTAAAAATTGGAGGCATAATTATAAAAATACCGAATACCATGTAGTACAGTTATATAAGGGCTATACAATCTATTATCTACAAGAAATGGAAAAAAAGAAATGGAGAATTCCAAACGATTCCGTTGAAAAATGTAGCTAAAATTGGCAAAATACCTAACGTCGAAAGATGTTTTTTTATAAGGCTTATACAAGATGTGGACCTGTATGGATAATTTTTCTATCGTAGGAAGTGGCACGAACTCCAAATACATATTAGAAACAGTGTCATTGAACATTTTTATATAAATCATTAAAATATTGAAAATGTTAGTTACAGGTATATTCAGGCTATAAGAAAGTGTGGACCTGTGTAGATAAATTTCTATCAGAGAAGATAGTTTTTATTATCAACACCAAATAATTTCGTTCAACAATTTACCAAAATCATTCAAATACCGAATATAGGGAGGTTCCGTTATATGCTTGGATCTGTACAGGGGATAGTCATAGGAGGTTGTATCTGGAGGCATATGGAGTTCTTGCGAATGATGTTTCCTACATATTAGGAACCCAAACCAAAAAACACCCAAAATACCATGTGATGTAGGTGGTCCTTTTTAATATCAACAATTCTACGGACATAATATGCATGTGTAGTAAATATATATCAACCAGCTTTGTTTCTTTCGGAAGCTAGAGTGATTTCCACAAGCGGACGGACATGGCTAAATCGATATAGAATTTATACTGATCAAGAATTTATATATACTTTATGGAAAACCACCTTCACACACAACGGATCTAAATGTAAATTAGTCACGAATTTTAAAGGTGAAATAACACCACGATTTCCATTAAACTTTATTAATTATAATGGGATGGGATTGGGTAGCTCCTATTATTACCTCCGCCACAAAGAGTCAACATATTAAAACTCAAAAATTCTAAAAAAAAATGTTATAGTGATTGTTTAATGGGAAATTATTTTGGAAATTATTTTTCGAACAACTTCACGTTTTCTATCTAAGGACACAAATGGCCTACCACGAAAATCTTGACTAAAGATGAGATGAAATAAGAATTAGAAGAATTGCAATAATCGACGCCCCTCAACATACCTGCATTAAATGTTATAATGCGACGACAACGACCTCGGTGATCTCTCATCTGACATTTGGGGCAAGGTTCCTTTTTCGGCTGCGTTGACAATATCTGTCCCGTATAGATTAAATTTGATCGTGGCGCGTAAAATATAACACGGCCCGCTTCCGTCGATTCCGATTTACAACACAATAACACCAGCACGACCAGCAAGACAGCTGCACATAATTTATTCAATTTTAGGGATAACATTTTTCTAGTTGCTCTATAAATATTTTGTTAATAATATATATTTTTCTGCAAAAATGCTTGATATTTTTGAAAGCGCACTTCTGTTTTATTGTCACTTGTCAATATGTCACGTTTTTTTTTTTTTTTTTTTTTTTTTTGTTCAAATGTCAATTATTATAACACTTTGCCTGTTACTTGTAGAAATGCCGGTATTCAACTGATTAACACCGATGGCATTTTTTCAATTTTATATATACAAAAATCGTTTCCATGCTGTTGGGGTGACCAGCTAAGGAGACTTTTTTAATTTATGAGATAAGAATGGCAATTAAAAAAAACATTAGGTTTCTAAAAGTAAAATGTTTATATACTTACAAAAGATGAGCGATGGAGGTTTTTTGAAAAACATGTTTAGAATATATATTAAACCAGTAAGAAGAGGTTATGTTTGACAGGACCGAACTTAGTAGCCCCCACAGAAAGTAACAGTTTTGAAAGTATGTTTTTAATGGCAAATGTCTAGTATTCGAGCGATATATACTTAATATACTCTACCATAAATAGTATACAAAATTCTAAGCCGATTTAGCCCTAGATTCAAAATGAATTTCAATAGGAAGTAAAATTTTTGCACATATCAGTCTTTTGTTTGCAGGCTGGTCAAGTTCAAAGATGAGCTATATCGGTCCACGATATCGTATAGCCCCCAAATAAAGGTATCCCCGATTTTCGGTATTTTGATGATTTTCTACACAAAAATTCTTTGTGGCTACTTTACCCCCTGAAAGATAATTTTCTATATAGGTCCACAATATCGTATAGCTCCTATACAACTGTGTCCCCAATATTTGGTATTTTGAGTATTTTAGACACATTTTTAAGTGGATTTATCCGAAATTATATACAAGAAGTGTTATGTGACCACTTTACCCTCTGGAAGATAATTTTCTGTATCCACGATATCTATATCCCCATATAATAATGGTTCCTCCCGATATTCGGTATTTTGATGATTTGGCGATATTTTTCACGCAAATTGTTTCAAATTTCGTATTTGAAGTTCTTAATCTATGACGGAAAATTGTCTATGCAGGTCTTCGTATAGCCCATATATAATAGTACCTCCCTATATTAGCTATTTTTATGATATTAGCAACATTATTATCCGGAATTGTTTCAAATTTCATATTTGAAGTTCGAAATCAGTACTAAAGCCTATGATAATAAATTACTTATGCAGGACCACGTCTTCGCATAGCCCTCATAAAACGGTTTTTATTTGAGCGGTATTTTTCGATAGAATTTAAAATGATCAAAGTACCGAATTTCGATGGTGCCGTTATATGGTTCCATATGGAAACGTGGACATGAATACAGGGTGAGATGAAAAAACTGCAACCAACTTCAGACTGCTGGAAAACCACAATGGCTTTCGTTAAAGCACTCCAGCATTTAAATGTGAATAAATCTTTTGTGTCTCGTACCACCGCTCGTTACCGGTACCGTTCCCGACGGAAGTAAGCAGCAACATCCGCAGAAATGGTTCGAGAAGTAAAGAGTGACTTGATCAAAACCCGGGTCGAAGTGGCCGAGAAATGGCTCGTTAGCTGAATATATCGCAATATTCCATTTGGCAAATATTGAAAAATGAGCTCGGGGTAAAGCCATTGAAATTCCAAAAAGTGCAAGAACTTACACCGCAAAAGAAAAAAATAGACTCAAAAGAGCTAAAGGGTTGCTTCGCTTTGCCGAAAGTGGTGATTTGACGAATTTGGTTTTCTCCGATGAGAAAACATTAGTTGTCCAATAGTTTGTAAACAAACTGATCGTGTTGACTTGCCAAAGAGGTCAGCTGAAAATGTGCACCTTCGGTTGGCCACCAGAACTCAAGCGCCGGCCGTGGTGATGGTGTGGGCCGCCATAAGAGCCGATGATCGCTATCCGCTCGTATCAATTGACCGTGGTATCAGAGTAAATGCCGAATATTATCGCGAAAATATTCTGGAAGGTGTATTAAAGCCTTGGGTTTTTTAGGCCGCAGACCTTGGACATTCCAACAGGACTTAGCATCATCGCACTCAGTACGCGCCACCCAAGGATGGTTACAAAATGAGGTTCCTCGCTTTATTTCCAGCGTCCAATAGCCACCAAAATCTCCGGATTCCAATCCGGACTATTGTGTCTGGCGTATTTTGGAATGCAGGGTTTGCACTAAAAAAAAAAACAAAGTATCGATCACCACAAGCAAGCGCTTCGCCGGGAAAGGACCAAAATGTCGCAGAGCAACATTCGGGCAGCGTGTGACGGTTTCATTTGCCGTTTGAAGGCTATAATTCGTGCCAAAGTTGTGCAATTCGAACAAATCTAAAATTATTCTGAAATGTGATGCTATTTCCGACTTTTTTTGCTTTTATTCAATAAAATTTAAGAAAAATGTAAACTTATGGCATTTGACTTTGTTGCAGTTATTTTATCTCACCCTGTAGACAATACTCTTCCAGGGATAAATTACCCATTGACAAATTTGGAAACACTCATAAAAATACCGAATATCGGGGGATACCGTTATATGGGAGCTATACGATAGTGTGGACCGATATAGCCCATATTCGAACGTGACTTGCCAGCAGACAAAATACCGATGGAAAATGTGCAATATTTTAGTTTCTTATGCTTATTCTTTTCGACTCTAGTTTGAATACAACAGACGGACAGGGCTAAATCCTGTTAGAATTTTGCCCTGATCGAGAATATATGTTCTTTGTTAGGTCTAAAATTATTATTTCGATGAGTTACAAACGGAATGACGAACTTAATATACCCTCCATACTATGTATGGTGGAGGGTATAAAAACCGGATATGTGTAGGTATTCACATATGGAGGATATACGAAAACTCATAGAAGATGGTACCCATTACAAACTCCGATTACCAAATTTGAAGCAATATCGTTTAAAGATAAAACAGAATACGGAAGGACGGATATTATTGTTATATTTGAAGCTGTACGAAAAAGTGGTCCTGTGTATAGATATATGTCCTATACATAGGAAACACAAAGTGCCAATGTACAGCCAATTCTGTTGAAATCTATGGGGGCAAAACCAATGACCAATTTTCAATTCCAAAAATTTCGGAAATTCAAGAATGAATTCCAAAGACGGACCGTCAGATATACCGGCGGACATGGCCAAATCGGCATAGAATTTTAATGCTAATCTATTTTTTATTTTTTTTTTTTTTTTGAGGAAAAATGTTTATTTCTAGTTGCTACAAACGAAATGGCAAATTTAATATATCCTCAATACTATGGATGGTATAAAAATGACAATAAGAAATCGACTTGGCCACCTCATTGCATTCGCCTTAAAATGATTACGTATAAATTGTGACACTTCTTTTTATCAACGTTTGATAGCAGCAAATTATAAACCAGGTGGGAACGAGGAAATCACCACAACCCAACCCCCGTCGCTAAACGAAAAAAAAACAATAAAACAGAAAATAATTAGAATTGTATATCAGGTGCTAGCATGATGTTCGCAGTGCAGAGATATTGTGATTCATTTCTATATTTTCTAAAAAAAAAACAAAATGTTATAGCTTTTTCCGAAAATGCATGCCTTGCACATTCGGTATGAATATTGGGGGTCTCAACTGTTTTAAGTGTATTAAACATCTTTCAGAAATATATTATATAATGGAAGCTATATCAAATTTGTTATTATTTTCGATACATATTAAATATAACCTATTTTTGATAGGAATACACATCTTAGTCTCTTTAGTAAATTCGTTTATAAATTAAAATCATAATCGAAATCTCAATTCCTTATATAATGAATTAAAATAAAAAGAGGTTGTGCCTCATAATTATAATATATATTTTTTGTAGTCTACTAAATAAAAAAATATTTAAAATCTGGTCACCCCATTTGCTGCAAATTTTTACAATTATTGTGAAATTGAAATGATTTTAATATTCGGTAAACATTCAAGTGATTCTGCAAAAAATAATCAAAATAGCAAACAAACGTCTGCTTTCCATCCCCAGCGTAGTGAATTGTCTTATCACTGTATAGGGTTTCCCTTTATTTAGCAGCATTAGAATTAATCCATTGAGTAAATTTTGAAGAGAACTATAATAAAAAGGTGTAAAACAATTGAAAAAGCATGACGTCTTTCATATATAGGGTTATAACTGGAGGATAATAAATGAAATGACACATTTATTATGTTAATGTTTGATACGTATAAAATTCTATAGAATAATTTTAATTATTTCGGACGATAAAGTTAGAAATCGGTGAAACAAGCTAAGTATTCAGAAATATTTATTATTTCCGATTGTTGTCTTCCTAAATATTAAAAAATCGTTTTCAAATACAATATAGTGGTTAGAACATATAAAGGGATCCATACAAAGGCGGGAACGATTTTCTACTAATACAAAAGATAACAATTATTGCGAGTTTTTATACCCTCAGCCATATGGCTACAGAGGGTATATATCATTTGATATGGTCAAAACGTACCTAGTCGAAATAATGGTTTTAGACCAGGGGTGCTCCAAACCGTGTTCTAGAACAGGAAGAGAAAAAAGAGATAATTTAAGAGAAAATTAAAATTCTGTTTTTCTTTATATTTTACTGTTATCTTTAATTGTTTTTAAACACGAATGTTTGCCAAAATAGTTTATAAAGCAAATGGATAAAAAATATTTGTATAAATAATGACTTAACACTGTTTTGTTCTTGATTTAATTAAGCAAAGAGAAATTTGACTGAAAACATATATTTCTTCTTGAGCACCCCTGTTTTAGACCCTATTTCTCTTTGGACCAAATCCGTTTCAGAACATTTGGAGTCGATCTAGCGATTTCCGTCCGTCCGTCTGTCAGGCTCGAAGGGAGCATCCGATTTGCTCCAAACTTGGTACATCGTAATATTTTTGTCAAACTTAGATCGAGTTCGAAGATGGGCAATATCGGTCCACTCCTTCTGGTGCCTCTCCCTATGTACCTCGTTACATAGGGTTCAAGATTTTGAAAAACAAAACGCTCATGGAAAGCGAAATAAGCATCCAACTCTCCTCAAATTTCACATAGACAAACATTTTTGCTAATAAAAGATCTGTTGTGAGGATGATAGATATTTGCGAACTCCTTCTGGTACCTCAACCACAAAGGGTCACAATTTTCAA